CAAAAAGATGTGTGGATAAAGAATGATATATATGTAGAGATTTAATCTCAAACTTGCGAAGCGTTTTTTATAGGACAAAACCGTGAGACCTTCGGGTCAAAGCGAATAATACATCGCAGGTTAGATGCGAATCTCTACATTTAGAATCCGATAATTATTTTAAATTTTGATTAATTTAGATTCAAGTTAGGTTGAATCTTATAAAAAGAATAAATTCTCCCGACACTAATCTTTTTCATTCATAAAAATTAAAATCAAAATCTTATTTAAAAGAAATTAAACTTTTTAATCACTCGTACTAATAGACATTGGTGAAACAATTGATATTTGATTCATAGTAAGGAAGATTGTTTGTGTCATGTGATTATTATTCTCTTTTCATAAAATTAATTTATTAGAATATAACGCCAACGAAGATATAGTTAATAATTTTTTTATTCGATATAAAATTAAAACATTTTATCTATTTTTTTGAAATATGAACGTAACTTTTGCTCTTATATCTAAATCTGATAAGCTAGACAATCATCATAATAGAATATCATTCTAAGCACTTTTGCACATCTGAAATCAAATTTATCGATTTAATATTAAATTTTTGTCATCATGCCTTAATTTCATTATTTTTATCACTATACTTTCTATTTTTAGATAAAAAGTAACAAAATTTATGAAAATTTACTGCATTTGCTTTAATAGAATATTTTATAGAATATTTGTATTTTATTATTTTTATCCAAAAATAATAAAATTTAAAATTTAATAATAAATTTTAATAGAATTCATGTACAGTAACAATTTAATATTAACCATAATATAATGACAAATTTAAATTAAAAATAAGATAATTGGAAACCAAAAGAAATTTTTTACAAAGGCAGCTATCAAGTAGGCAACAATGGAGCAGGATTTTCCGATAACCCGAGCTTGTGGACCAATCATGTCTTGACTAGCCATAGAAAAATGCGAACTTTTGGTTGATTTTTAGTGCACAAGATGTTGATTTTGGCAGCAGTCATGGTCATAGGCATGGTTTCATATGCACTTTGCTCGATTTTTGGATACAAAAAATATTATTTTGATTTTTTTTTGCCTTTTTGATAATGAAAGTTGAATTAATCATTGTACCAGCTAACGTTTGAATCACTTGATATGTTGTCAGTGCTAAAACTTAGAGATAATAAATTATAAAGAGTTTATGTGCATAATTATTTTGTCAATAAAGTAAATGTAAAGATAAAAAATTAAAATTAGATTAAGAAATTAAAAAAATCAACATTCCCTTCAAAATACATTTATTTCAATTTTTTTCCAAAATTTTTTTTAAAATTTAAAAATTCAACATATTCCAAATAATAAACTAATTTTCCAAATAGTACACAATTTATAAAAGAATATTATATAAAACGGGCCTGGGCTAGGGGTTAGCATTGGAGACATCTGGGCTCAACCGAGGCTCTTGACTAAAAATTACTAGTCCAATTTGTGGTGATAGTACTAGAAGCCAAAGCCGGCAAAGTACCCTATTCATAAAACGCACCGTTTCAAGGTGGTCAAATCAAAAGTAGCGATTAGATTCGGATGCCTTGGCTAACAGTCAACGGGAAAACTTTTCTTCTATTGATTTTCAATTGATCAGTCTTTATTATTTCTGGGTTTAGTTTTATATTTCTTTTCTTTTATCTTGAACTACTTTCTTCTTATTCTGTTCTTCCTTTTTCTTTGTTATATGACTTTTTTTTTCTGTCTATATCAATCTAAAAAAGGAAATTTTTATGTTTATTTTTTAAAAAAATTTGTTTGGGTAATTTTTTGATTTATGGGGCATTTTGATTTTTTCACAAACATCAATTTAACTTATTTTTCAAAATTAATGCATAATTTTGTCATAACTAAGGAAACCAATCATAAATTAATTTTATTATATTCCTAATTTGCTTTTCTTTCTCTTTTATCCTTTTGTTATTGTCTTAGCTTTTTGCTTTTTGAGTTTGCAAAATTGACACAAAAAGTTGAGTTTATACAGGCAGTGCCAGTAAGGAACCAGGGTTAACATGAATGAATCTAAACCTTATAATTTCCCATCAAAATACAACATGATTTTTATTGTAATCTTAGAGGATTATTATTATTATTATTATTATTATTATTATTATTATTATTATTATTATTATTATTATGGGTTATATGTACTAAAATAAAAATAAAATAAATTTAAAATATAATTTCATTGATTCGTATAATTATGTTTAAAATATGAATTTAATAAATAAAATCTTTTGTAATATGTTTCTTACGATAATTAGTAAAATTGCTCCATAAGCAATAAAACGTATATTTATTCAGAAATTTATATTCAATTTATGCCTTTCCCTATAAGAACTCCAAATTTGGATGTAATCTTTTAAAGTGATCAATTTGATATATTTAATATAACTTTAGTGATTTGAATGAAATAAATTAAAGTTTAATGATTCAGATGAAATTTAGATATAAATTAAGTGATCTTTAATGAAATTTATCGTATATAGATTGAGAACCGTTATGTTAGATGGAGATTGGCAGATAGGGAAGCAAAAGGGAAGGGCCACAAATACGAGGTCAGGTCATAAATCTTTATTGAATACTTGAACCAAGAATTGGTGTCGGTATGGTAGAGAGAAAAGTAATAAAAATATTTAAAAGTTAAACAATAAATGGGGGTTCAAGCCCCAACAACAACCCGAGTGAAGGAAGAGCTGCCTATTTATTATTGTTTGTTGGCACTGGTAAAGCTCTCAAGGCTCCCCTCATTTATGCCTGCCTCCTTCCAAAAATGCTTTGGCTTATCAAAAGCTCTCTTAATTTTCTTTTACATGATCTTCACCTATCTCCAAAATTTAATGTGTGCTTGCATAACTCAAAAGAAATTTGATCAGTTGTTGCAGTCAATTAATCCCAATATATAAGCTTGCTTATGTAGTTCAAGAATCAAACACTGAGAGCATATATATAATATATACTAGAAACTTAGGGTTTAACAAAATTAATTCATGTACTCGCATGTAAAAGATGACATCGATTCAAATTTTAACGTATAATCTATTTTTTCTGTCATCAAGTTATTAGTGTTATATTTATAGTGGTTAATAGAAAAAGTTAAATTTAAGAAATAAGAAGAATTTTGAAAGATCGATCGATGATATTCTAAGTTAGATTTACGAATTAATGATTTTAATTAATTATTTTATATATAAAAAAAGTTTATGATTAAAAAAAAAGATTCAAATCTCAAAAATAATGTTTTGAAAGAAATATTATTGTTGTTAGACCGAACTTGAATAATTTAATGAAACCTTAAATGCCATCATGTTAAGAAAAAAAACACACTAAAAAGTACGTTAATAAAGATGCATGGGATATCAGATTGATCTTTGAAGGGTGAATCTTTTGAGCTTTGAAGTTGAATTGATGTAGCTTAAATGGGACACCTACAAATGTCAGACGAAAATGCATGGCAAAGTAATTGAAACCCAAAATTGTACGTACGATAATCCCTTCTTGTGTGCACAATTGCAGGTCGAGCCAGTCTTCTGCTTCCTCATTTACTGCAAAAATTAGATGTTAGGATCAATGTCATGAATGCGTCCACCAGCAAGCAGAAATTTGCTTCATTTCTCAGTAATAAGTTGTTCAACCAATTTCATCTACATTTCTGTGGTCCCCAAATCCATGCCCTTATTATCTTACCTCTTTATGTAGTCGATTTTTGGTCAGAATAGCTGCCAAATCATGTGTAATATTGACCTAAATTTATGAATTTTGCGATTCGAAGGATAATGGTTAAGGTGTTATATTAATATTCATTGATTCGATGATTTCTAATGTATTGAGACGTGAAAAATATTATTTAATAGGTTAATTTTAGATAAAATAAAAAAAAAAATCACAGTTTAAAACTAACAAAATTTTTATATTATATTTGACGTATTTACATGAATTAAAATATAATAATTTTTATATTTTATATATATTTAACATAAAATAAATAAAATACAGATAGATAAATTGTCGAATTTATATCGAGTGTTTTAAGAGTGCTTGTTACGTATTATTTATAGTTTTTGATGTTATTAAATGCATATAATAATTAGCAATTAGAATATATTAAATTGTGAAATTTTTTTAAATAAAAATCCTAATTAATGCTCTTAGAAGACTCTAAACTCTAAAGTGAAACTCTTCATGTACTAGTGTCATATTCCAAGCTGACGCAACAGGTTTAGAATTGAAGAACCAATTAACTGAGGCCCAAGATGAAATTGTTGGTTTGAAGTTTGAAAAGGGCTCAGGAAAAATATAGGTGAATTGCTTCCAGGTTATCTAATCTCATATGAGAAACATTTTTCTTTTTTTTTTACAAAAAATGCCGCAACCCAAAAATATGAGATGGGATTGTAGGTTTATTCGAAACAGTTTAATTTCTTTCTTGGCACCATCAAGCTAGCTATCCTGTCCTGCTGTTTCATGGAGTGCTACTATTTCTTTTGTGTGTGTGTGTGTGTGTATGTATGTATGTATGTATGTATATATATATATATATATATATCAATTTTCGCAGATTATGAATCCCCTGAAGTCATGAAAATTTAAGTTCAAGGAAGGAGGGAGCAGAGAATTTATGAAGAACTTTCCACAATTTAAATGGGAGGTGCAGTTCATTTTAAATGTTATATATATGTAAGAAGAGAGCAAGTTTTGGGAGCATTAAAGTACTTTTAATGCTTGGTCTGTCCTCCTTTTAATGGGGTTTGATGAACCCAATTTAAGAACCCTCTTAAGTGGAAACACTCTCATTGCATGACTGCTTCTGCAATCCAATTTCACTACCATTTTTCTCTGTTTGATCATATCCCAAAGTTCAATTTCCTCCCTTGTACTTCTCTTCTTTTCTCTCCTTGTTCTTCAAGGAGAAGAAAAGGATTTGAAGGAGTTATTGTTGCTAGTTTTTCAAGGATATTATGGAACTTACAGAGCTCTCTTTAGCTTCAAACCAATGTGTTGCTGCTGACAAAAGCTGCAATATTAGTTCATCATCTGATCAGCCTGATTTCAACTTTCCTTCCAAGAGGAGGAAGCTTTTCCCAGATCACTTGTTCAATGATGGATCACAAATCCAAACCATTGTTGATCTTCAAGTTAAAGACCCGCTACCGCTAGACTGGGAACAATGCCTTGATCTTGAAGTATCTTTCTGATCTCTTTTAAATTAATTGATTCCTCTTCCAACTCTTTCTATGGTGAATGCTGAGATACTGTTTGATTCTGACTTCTATTATAATCCTTGTTTAAGATATAGTTAATGGGTTCAATTATTTGTCTTAAATGTTTTAATTTATCACATGCACGCGCATGCATATACATATATGTTTATGTCAATATTATATGATCCTTAATCTAGGTGTTTTGGTGTCTGCAGTCAGGTAGAATGTACTACATGAACAGGAAAACATTGAAAAAGACCTGGAACTGGCCTAGAGATCAGAAGCTAGACCTTGAACTCAACATCTCGCCGCATTCGAATTGCTCCAAACAGTGCAGCAGTTCTACCTCATTTGAAGACTGTAACAAGCAACATTCTTCAGGCACTAACATGGTGGCTTTGGCATGCTTGAATTGCCATCTCCTTGTCATTCTCTCCAAATCTTCTCCTGCTTGCCCCAACTGCAAGTATGTCCACTCTCTTCCTACAATGCAAGCCCAACCACCAAAAGTTTCAGCCATCAAGTCTCTGGATACCTTAAGCCTCTTGAACTAATAAAATAGATCAATCATGTTAGGGGAGGCTTTAAGGCATAGATTTTAAAACCCTTTGCCAGAACTGGTAATATTAGTATAATGTTAAGTTTCATGGATGTATTCAAAAACAGTAAATATAATCTAGGCAAAAGTGTTTTCCATGTAGTTGACTTTGTTATATATTCTCATTTTGTTTGGTATTGGCCCTTGGGGCCTCTTGGGTAAGAAGCATTAAATTTGTAGAATGAAAGTCTCCCCAAATATTAAGTCCTATCATCAAGAATGTAACGAGTTTCGTATTTAACTTAATTTATTAATGCAATCACTTTTAAAAAATAATATTTGTTCAAGTGATAAGTCAACCTTTCAAGATAAAAGATAAAATCAAGAAACTTCATATCTAAACCCTAACTTAAGGTTGGAGCAACATATTTGCCTTCGGATTTTCATTAAAAAAAATCAATATCGAGTGGCTGACATTTACAAAGGGTTGTTTCAGTTTCCATTGTGCTTGGAATTAGCTAGCAGCGAAGCACTCGTGTGGTGACCCCAAAGTACTAAAGTAGAGTCAAAGGCATAAATACAGATCTGTTAAGCTGTAAAGTTTTCAGGCTGCATTGCATTTAATCACCAGGTGACATGTTTCACCTTCTATGCTTCTACTCTTCAGCAATCAAACCTATAGACTTCTTTTAATTGTATAGACTTGCATTGCAGTTTGATTGAATTCTTTAAATTTGACATAATAACCAAATTTGCCATTATGATAAGTTTGCTTTCAATCAAATTGTTTGCCAATTATAATCAACACCCAGCCAATTAAGAGAAGATTTTATAGGAAAAGGGGCTGCCTGGCCATCAAACACGGTTTCAGCATTACAAACCTACTAAAATTAAGGTAATATGTTAGGAACAAAATCCTATTTTTCAGAAAACAATAATAAAATAAATTCAAAATAATTAAACACGTGAGATTTATAGTAATTGACTCTCAACACAAGAGTTATTACAATTAAGGTTGTAATCAATTGAATTCAAGTCAATTCAGTTTTAAGTTCGAGTTCAAGCTCGACTCCAGATTCGAGATTCAAAATTTGACTCGAATTCAATCGAATTTTATTTTTTTAATTTGAGTTCAATTTGAAATAGAAATCGAACTATTCGAACTCGTTTGATTAAGCTCAGTTATGTAAAAATAAGCTCGATTCTTATATTTGATAAAAACTCAATTATTTGTGCTTTAATTTGAACTCAAATTCAAGATATTTTATCAATTAAAATAATTAAAATATAAAAACTCGATTAGACTCGTGAGCTAATCGAGTTGGGTATAAAAATATTCGAACTTAGCTCGATTAATAAATCGAACCATTCAAACTCAAGCTTGACTCGATAATAATCGAATCGAATTTGAGTTTTATTCGAATCGAATCTGAATAGTTTATAAATATTAATATATCATTTACACCTTTAACTACAACTTTACAGTTGATGTAAAACTGATAACCCTTTAATATAAACATAATTAAACGATCAAATTATATATGTAAAAAACTCAAAATACCCTTAATATTATTGCAAATATCCAAAGGTTGACGCACATTTTATCTGCATATAAATAATAAATGTTAGGATACTAATTAAGTTACACAAACTTAAAACATTAATTATGTTTACAAGATATAAGAAACTTTTATGTAAAGGTGATAATAATTCAAATTAGATCACTATAGATTTGATTTTTTTGAATAATATATAATATTATAAATTTTTAAAATTCAATTTAAATTTGAATTAATTTTTTATATAATCTGATTCGATCCAAATCGAATTTGTTCAATTTGGTTTGGTTCATCGATTTTTTTATTTTTATTTTTATACATTATTTAAGTATAAATTTTTAATATATTTAAATAGTTTTAGATATAACTTAATTATTATTATTTTATAAAAATTTTAAATATATATATAATAGCTAATAAAAATATAATTTGGTTCCTTTTTTTTCAATTTTTTACTTCTTGATCAAAATTTAATATATATATATATATTTAATGTTTAAATTTAATATAAATCAAATAAAAAATCAATCAAAACCAAATCGAACATTATAATTTTAAATTAATTTTTTATTTTTTCAATTTTTTCTTCTTACCCTTACTTCTATGATAAATTTAAACTCTCTTAAATTTATGATAATTTTAAATGTAAAAATAAAAATGTGAAATAAGCAATGCAAGCCTGTTTAATACAATAATAGTCCATGTTTGGTTGAGACTTTCAAGCACGCTGGGCTTACAAGGCTGCCTGTCAAGCTCCGGACCAAGGGGCATATGCCTTAACTAAGGTCCAGTGGACAAGCTTGACATGAGCCGTCGCATTAAACTGGCTGTCTACGGCTGCAGGCACAAGCCACAGGAAAATTCTAATCAAAGTGTTGGAGCTTGACATATATGAACGTATTAAACGTTAAACTTACCGCATATGTTAATTCAGGATTCCAAACTTTAATTATACCACAAATAACATAGCCTGAGTCAACGCTGAACATAATGTTTTAATTGGAGTTCGATTTAAAATTATTATTTTATTAATAAAAGTATTATTATTTAATTTTTATTTTAAAATATTAATAAAAAATAATTTTTTAAATTTTAATATATAAAATTTATTTTTTAAAAAATCAAACACTTTTAATAAAAAATCATTTAATTGTTGTATATCTATTTCCAAAAATAAAAAATAATATAATTAAAAATTCATTTAAATGAAGAAAGATTAAAATTAATAATAAAAGTTATTATAATTATCATTGAAGAAAAAATTATTGTAATTGTAATTTAAAAAATTATAAAAAATTTTATATTAAATAAATTTTATTAAAATTAATATTTGAATTTAATTAATAATAAAATAAATTCAATCATACATATTGATGGATGGAATTCAAAATCACACTAAAAGGTTTTTTATCAATGGAAAACATTAAGAGTGTAATTGATCGAGTGCGAGTCGATATAACATTAAGTTCGAGTTCGATTCGAAATTCAATACTCAATACTCGATTCAAATTCAATGAAATTTTTATTTTTTAGTTCGAACTTGATTCGAGATAAAAATTGAGCTATTCGAACATGTTTGATTAAGCTTAATTAATATGTAAAAATAAGTTTGATTTTTATATTTGATAAAAATTTGATTATTTGTGTTTGAATTTGAGTTCAAATTCGAGATATTTTATTAATTAAAATAATAAAAATATATTTAAATATAAAAACTTAATTAGGTTCGTAAACTACTCTGATTGAATATAAAAATATTCGAATTCGACTCGATTAATGAGTGAAACTACTCAAGTTCAAACTTGACTTAATAATAATTGAACCAAATTTAAATTTTATTCAAATCAAATTCAAATAATTTATGAATATTAATATATCATTTACATATTTTTACTTTAAAATTTGAAAGACAATAACAATTGAAAAAAAAAAAATCCACTGAGGTTTTGATTGGAGTTAAAAGTCGACAAAATAATCGGCTTTCTTTTTGGCTACCACATGCCCTTAAATTTTGATTGGACCGTGACATTTATAGCAACCTTAATTTTCCAAACAAAGACAGTATATTTATAGTAAGTATTTATTTTTGTCGTGAGTAAGATAAGGCTAACCTGTCGTCCACTGGCTACTACTAATAAAATAAAATGGAATATACTTCTTTAATCAATCAATCAGAGCCGTTAACTTTCCACAACGAAGGTTGGGTGCGATTCAGTGTATGAGTATAAACCCATACGTGGTCCCATGTTTATTTGTTTGACTTCTTGGTTACAAAATTTTTTTTTAATAAATTTAATTTATTTATAGCACCCAAAAGATATTTTGTTTGTTCTTATAATTGGATTTTTTTTCTGTTCATGAAATAAAAAATAATTATTTTTTTCAAATAAATGAAATCAAATTTATTTTAATTTTATAATCTATTATTTTCATAAATTTTTTTTATGCAAAGAGTTATCGAAGTTTAAGGAATAGAAAAAGGAGAATTACAATTATTCCAGATTGAATTATAGTTTTATGAAACTTCAAGCCTACAACATAATAACAACACATCTCAAATATGCTAATGATTTTTGTATAAATTGAAACTAATTTGATGACTTTCAAACAAAATTAATAAAAAAATTTGCAAAATTTTGTGAATTTTTGTCTTATTAATATAGAGTGGAAGTGCCACTTAATTATGGCTAATTGGACATACAAAAGATAAACTTACTTAGATAGTTAGAGTAACGAGAATTATTTATTAATTATAATTATAATTTCATATTAAAATGCATATGATATTTACAATAAAAATAAGAAAATATAAAAAAAATTTATCAACTTGAGTCCTCGATTTTAACCCGTTTTATATTTGGTTATTTAAATTATAGTTACATTGAGAGTAATATAAAGTACATAAGAAACATCTTTTACTTAATAGCAAAGAGTTTGAATTAAGATTTTAAATGGTTTGGGTTAAGGTATTGGAGCATCTAATTTCATTATAGACCTAAGGACATTAACCTTGCAAATTGGTGTTAAAGAAGCATTCAAATAATGTTTTCTTATGTCTATATATTGATAAGGAGCAAAAATAATTCGAGGAAAGAGTTAAAAAAAAAAAACGAAGAAAGCATGTTATTTTTTTATTTAATATTACTTAATATAACAAGAATAATAAATTAAGTTTTATACTTCATAATTCTGAAATTTATTATTTAATATTACCTAATAAAAAGAAAAAAATATATAGATTTGCTTAATTATACGACTCAAGATTAAATCATTTCATAAGTGGAGGAGAATGGAAAGAAACATAAATTTTCTTCTTTTTTCCTTTGGTTTTGGCTTCTCTATTTTTTACGAGTACTCTATTTTCTTTCCGTTTCACTAAATATAATGTTGATAAATAATGAGAATAGTAATATTAAACATATGATATTAATAGAATTAATTACAATAGTTCTTTTTAAAATAAAATGTAAAAAAATATATTTTTTTTTGTGTGTAAATTTAACCATTCACTTATTTATATTGTGTTCATTTCAATTCAAACACGTAAAATAAAAAATTATCATATTAAATTTATATCGACATAATAAGTATGAAATATATTTTTTGATTTTATTTAATTTATATATAAATTTTATTAAAATTTTAAATCATATTATTTTATTATTATTTATATATCATTATTATATCATATTATTGTATCATATTTAAAATTATTGAATTTTTAAAAATTTGTACCTAACTTAAAAATGAATAAAAAGTAATTAAAAAATAAAGAAAACACGTGAATTACGCCAAATTCAGATAAAACAAAGCAAAAATTATAAACAAATAATAATTTACTATTTGTGGTGATGTAACAAAAAATCACCAATGCGTGATGGAAGCAAAACCTCATATAACATTCCCCATGAAGCAAGCATCCCTCCTCTGAGCTATGAACAAACCTTCGACATTTTCTTTCTCTTTTCAGCTTATGTTTTTTTCCCTCTCTTTTCCTTTCTAATTCTTCCTTTTCTGACTAGAGAGCCATGTACCCTTCATCTTCGTCTCAACAACCCGTGGGCCAAACAGGATTAACCCGTTACGGCTCAGCCCCGGGTTCCCTTCTTACCACCGCCGTTAATTCCGTTATAGGAGCTGGTTCTAACCTCGTCAGCCACTACTTCTCCGCTCACTCATCGTCATTAACATCGGAGTCAACTTGTAAAGTCAGCTCATCCAACCACCCACAAGAGCCTAAATCTGCTGCTCCTCCTCCCCATGGATCTTACCCTGCACCTTCTTCTTCCTCTTTGCTCAGACAACGTAGCTCTCCCGCTGGTTTCCTACACCTCTCAACCGAAAACGGTAATGCATTTTTTTTCATTCTAGGACGGTTTTATCCTTATTATATTTGAGTAATCATTATCCACTGAAGGGTAATTTCGACTTCTTAAATTTATTCCTTTTATTGGCGGCTTTTCTTCCCCGAACAATTCACCGGCATTAGGCGTTGACCCAACTTTTCATTGACAAAAAAGGTCACATTCTATAAAGTTTAATTGCCAAAATAACCCTTCAAAAGGAATAATCTGGTGGGAGGATGGTCCATGAAATTTCCATGTAGCTTCCACTATTAGGGTAATATTGTCTGATATGTTACAAAATATTTCAAGTGTTTTTTACCCCTTTTTTTTTATTTAAGTTGTAAAAATTAAATTTCAATGTCATATTTTATCATCCATATTTATTATTGATGAAATATTTTAGTGCATCATTGACCCAAAGTTGGGTTATGATATTCTTTTAATTTCACTTATAAAATTAAAATTTTATTATTAACATTTTATTAGAAAATAAAATCTAATCTTAAAATATCCCTTAATTACCCTTTAGAAATCAACTTTTATCTTCATGAATGTGTATTTTCTTCTTGGCACATCTTTAGGCCGTGTACAATTAAAAGCTAAATGTTAAAAAACACGATGACATTTGGAAGCAAAAATGTGCATTTCAGTATGGTTTTGTATTGAAATAATGTTACGAATTATTTATAAATTATAATAAAATATTTAATATAATATATAAATTTAAAAAATTTTAATATATACTTAAATTATAAATATATTAATTAATATGATACTTGATAATTATTTGTATGTCATATATCATAATTGAAACTAATCATATTAATTAATAAATTTATAATTTAAATATAAATAAAAAATTTTTAAATTCAAATACCATATTAAAATATTTTATTATAGTTTTAGAGTATTTGTAACATTAAACTTTTTGAATTTAATTCTTTTATTAGTTAAATTTCCATAATTTGTTTCAACAATCTTTTTAGTAACAAAAAGTGATTTTTTTTTTTTTTGGTTTAAATATCATGACCTGCCATTTATGATTTAAAAATATGGGACAGATAGATTCCTCCAACCCAAGTTAGGTTATAGTGCCAAGTCCTTTAATGAATAAAAATGAATTTTCCAAAAGCTTCATCTAACCACGTTCAAGTTTCTTACGACATAAAAATGCACAATTTTTTTTTTTAAATGATACAAAACAAAGATATAAGAAAATATACTTATCTATTTATAAAAAAAACTTCTCAAATTTTTTGAAAATATCTAAAAACAATTCTTGAAACTCTCTGTCATTTCTTAAAATTTCAAATTTTTTTATAAAAATTTTGTTGTAAAAAATATATATAGAAATTTAGTGATATTATGATATGCTAGTGATTATTTAATCAATTAATTTCATCAGCGCAAAATGCAATCTTAAAATTTATTACTTGCAATTTTTTTGCACATCTATTAAGTAAATAATATAATAAAAATAAATAAAACTTTAAGGAAAGTGATACCGATCTTAAAATTATTTTTCAAAATTTCAGATTTATCAAAAATAATAATTTTAAATTTTCAGCATTTGCTCTCATAGGATGAAATAATTTCTCTAAAATTAATGGTTAGACAAAGTTATAGATAGCCAATCCATGCAAACCACCATGTTCTTGCTGGCAGATGAGGTATTAAAGGGTTAGTGTCACGTGTCTAACATAACTCCACCGATATTTTTGGAATCCAACATTATGCTTTTATTTTACTCTATAAAATTTGATGTAGATGCATAAAATATTATATGCTTTGTGGGGTGAATATCTTATGATTTGCAGTTGGACAAGTGGGAATAAAGTAAGATAAATGATCTTGGTAGCCCATTAGGATACAATACCAGTGGGATAAGAGGGACTCGAAGCTAGCCCTGTTCATATTTTTTTAACTCTTTCAGAAAAGTCATCCTAATGAAGTTTTTAAATGAGATAACGTCCTAAAATCTCTTAAAGTGAAATATTTACTTTCATAATTGATTTTAATATTGTTTTAATATAATATTTGAATTATAAATTTATTAATTAACATGATATTTAAAGTATTATTTATCCGTTACGTGTTATCATTTAAAATTAATCAAATTTAATAATTTAAAATACAATACGAAAATAAGACACGAATGTGACATAATTTAAAATTATAACAATAATTATATATGAGTTTAACAAAATAAAAAAATTATATTTCATATTTTTATATTCATACGAATTAAAACATATAATAATTTTCGTATAAAATACGATGCAAATGCATGAATTTTAATATTTTATATTATACAATTATACGAATTGTTAGGTCTAGAGTTAACCACATTAACAATGAGTATCACATTAGAGAATTTTAAATTTTATATACTATATTAAAAATTTTATTATAATTAAAGAGTTATTCATAATATTAATTCTTTTTAAATTTCATATTCAGGTTTGTAAACTTAACTTGTTACATATTCATTTAATTATGATTAGGAAAATTAATAAATTAAAAAAATTACTTAAATGGACATATGTTAAGAAAAAAAACATGCTTTAGTTAGGAGTTTAAAACTTTTATTGTCTATTTTAATAAATTTATATCTAAATGCAAGTTTTACTTGTTTATTTTGAAAATTAATTTACAACTAGATAGAGTCTAGATTATTTGTTCTATAGATATGATAAACATGTGGAATGACAAGGAAGAACAGTACAAAAGAAAACTAATAAAAGTAATGCATAATTTTTTTTTAGAACAATTGAAATTGTATTCATTTCATTTGAAGATGAATTTCGCAACAAAAATTTATTTGCCGATGTATTACCCCAACATGGTTAAAATTCATATTACCTTTGTGATGCGTTTGATTTGTTATAGAATGTGATTTTTTTTTTCCATGGATCACTTGAAGTGAATTAAACACTCTCATTGCAGGTTTTTCTGTTACAAGGGGCACCAGAAATTATAGCTCTCAAGGTGCTAATCGTGGCCATGGAGTGTCAAGATTGAAGTCTCAATTGAGCTTCACAAGACAAGATTCTCTTTCTCAGATATCTGAAGTCAGTGAGGATCTTGTTGATGGTGTTAGCTCTAGCAGTAACCATCAAAATGCTGCACATCCATTTGCTGCTGCTGGCTTTGGAATGGATTCCTGGGATCATACAAATTCCATTGTGTTTTCTGCCCCACCATGCAAGAGGGCTAAAAATATTGATGGCGATAGTTATAACTGTCTAAAAGCCTTGGAAACTCAGGTATATTTTTCTCCCCATTTTAACTGACATCAGATCAGGGAAGAACAATTTAATGGTGTTTGTTTCCAATATCTTATCAGAAAATAAGTATTTTGGAGTATATTATTTCTCATCATCAGCCCAATATTGTTGAAGTAGGAGCACGATTTTGCATTTATTGTAGCATCATTGATCGCTTTGTCATCACCATGATGAATAACACAGTGTGCTTTAAAGTATTATCATTAACTTCTTATTATTGGCCTTACATACTGCGAATTAATCTTTATTTCAGGTTAGTATGCCACAAACGACACTTGAGATGGCTACAGTGGAAAAGCTGCTACATATTCCTGAACATTCTGTGCCCTGTAAAATCCGAGCCAAGCGTGGCTGTGCTACTCACCCTAGAAGCATTGCTGAAAGAGTAAGTTAAAGTTCAAGAGATTTAATTGCTAGTGATAGATTACTATAACTTATTAGAAATCAAATTGCTTATTTATAGGATAAATGCAGATGTTAATGAAGGTTCATATGATCAATCATATCCTTTCAAATGACCAGTTCCATCAAACTTCACCTTCTGTCTTGGAAAGTTCAATGTCTTTTGTTTATACCTTGCACATGTAAAGCATTTGTAAGGGCTATTGAAGATAGTATAATTTTGAAGTTATATCGCTGTTCGCCGTGCACTGATTGCATCCATGAATCCCATAATTCCTCCATTTCTAGCCTTGCATTCCAGAAACTTTTAACATTGATAATTGTGATACAATATGGAAAAATCACAACTGGACATTCATTGTCCTTTTTTTTCTCTTTTCCTTTTCTATTGGGTTGGAATTTTATTTGATGTGCACATGAAAAGTATTATTGTGGTCTTGAGGATCAATGGCTGCTATGTTAAAAATAGAAGGTACCATGAATCCAAGAAAGAAAGATGACAAGCAAGGGACCCGACAAATGGCGAAAACAATATTCCATCATGCATCCACTAGAGCATAAAGCCCTCGTACCTGCACATGCATGGTAATTTCGGCTCCTTTGTGGAGTAGGTGACAAGTACGATATAGCATAATATAGTAGCTAATGAGTGCAAGAATATGATCTGCACATCTACTTATCGATTCTATAGGTATAGAGGAAGCTAGTCTATAGTAATAGAACATCTTTTTGCGCCCTTAGATCATATAATTGATAATGCTCATTTGCATTTGCTTATGTTAATGTCTTGAAGAAGATTCATGCATTATACACCATAAACTTACAGTTGATTACTAAGATACATGAGCATAGTGTATAAGTGTTTTTTCTTTCCCCCAAGGAATGATCAATCTTATTGAGCATCATTAAACTTATTGTATATGTACAGGAGAGAAGAACAAGAATAAGTGGGAAGCTGAAGAAATTAGAACAGCTTGTTCCTAACATGGATAAGGTAATCGTTTTTTTCTATGCTGGCCTCAGATTGAGTCTATATTTAGGTTGTTTTGAATCATTCATTTCCTCATCAAAGATTGTGGACTTATGGTTTCCAGATTATTGTGCAAGGGATCCATTTGCAATGTATATACATTATTTTCTACATAGATAATATATCTTTGAAATCTTCGTGCAGCAAACGAGCTATGCAGACATGCTTGACTTGGCTGTGCAGCATATTAAACGCCTTCAAAATGATGTTCAGGTTCGTACATATGTCATCTGAGTGCTTATTATTATGTTTTTATGGCATCGAAATTTGTTTCTTTGAAGACCCTCAAATTAGGTTGCTATGATTCTGAATGTTATAGGTGCTTTTTACAAAGGGTCACAATATGAAATCTATCTTTGATATATGTGTGTTTGTGCATGCGCATGTGTGCATGTTTGCGCATGCACATTTGTGCATACATGTGTGCATTGTTATAGGACTGATACATTTGAAGCCTTGATGTAGAGTGCATATAATTCATTAACTTTCTTACCTTTATTTTCTATTGTACAATAAATTCTGTGAATTGGAATTCAAGGGCATGTTCCATTAGGCTTGAGCTGTGTGCAGCAAACTCATAACCGGGAACCATCGATCTAATGTTTGAGAAAGGCCTAGGTTGAAGAACCATGTCTTGGACTCTAGGCACCTGCTTGTCTTATCACCAAGCTATTCCATTAGGCATTCCTTTTGAGATAACGCTTAAGACTCTATCATTAATATATTTGCTACAAGCTGGAGCATAGAGTCTTACATACATCTAGAAGTGAAATATACAATGAGGAAAATCAGTTACCTACTTTAGAATTTTAGTAATCTAGATTACATAGCCAAACTAAGTTGTCTGAGACGAGTGCCCTTAAGAGATAGCTCTGATCTATTTATTGTCTATGAAGAGGTTCCATGGATTTCTTCTGCTTGTGTTACTTCTAAAGCAATGCATTGGTAGGACCATGTGGTATATACCTTTGGTTAATAGATGAACCTGAAATGATGTCCATATTCTATTTTTCTACCTCAAATGCATTAACGAAATGAAATTCTATTAGCTGATGATGCCTCTCATAGCATCTATGGATCCAATACATGAGGTAATTGGTGGTACCAAAAGGCACTATTGTTAATCAAGAATGTTGATTGCAAAAATGATAGATCAAGTGGTAGATCATGAAAGATGTCAGTATGGGAATACTGTAGCCCCACAGAATGTACCAACACTGAGTGTTTATTTCGTTGGAATTAAGGATAACTACTAAAATGGCAACATGGCTCATAATCATTGAGAATAGGCAAACTAAGGAGAGTTTCAGCTTTCTTAATGGGTTTGATCTTAGCCTAATAAGCCAAACCTCTATCAGTATCTTGTTTTGATAAGAAAGCAGAATAGATTCTGTGGACTTCGAATTCAGTATCTTTTTAAGCTTGAGATCCAAGTCAACCCCATCACAGTCTTCAGGAACTAATAGATAGCAAATTGCCGGTATGTTGAAACACATGTTATGATAGCAGCTAAGCTGGCTGGTTATAATTAGGGGTGAGAAAAAAAAATGCAGAAATCTGAAAATCGATTTGAAATTATAGTGTTTGGTTTAGTTTAGATCGATTTTTTTTTATTAAGTTCAGATCAAGTTTGGATAGTAAGCATATATATTAAGTTTGGATCGAATTTCAGATCGGAAATAGAAAACTGAAAAAAATCGAGTCGAATCGAATTATATATATTTTAAATTTTTATAAAAAAAAATAATAAATTTATATCATATCAAAATATATTTAAATATATTAAAATAATATATAAAAATTAAAAACCAATAAATTAAACCGAAATAAATCGATAAAATTTAGTTTAATTTGCAAAAAAGATCAGATTTAAATTTAGATAAATTTAAAATTTATAATATTATATATTTAAAAAAATAGAATGAATTTTAATTTGAATAATCCTTATCACATCTGTTATGACCTTTGCCATTGAATTGGCCAAAAGCTAAATCAGATTGTCGCATTCAAGGAATTTAGCTTATATTTGTGTAAAACTTATTTAGACCAAAGTGGGATCTTTGATGAATTTCATATAATTATATCATTTTCCTCTTTTAGAAGATAGAGAAGAGTTAAGAAGTGGCAATGATATTTTTCTGTTAACCAGAAAGGGATTCATGGGCTGTCCGATACATCCCTTCCTGGACTGAGTTTATCTATGCCGGACCTAATGAATTCAGGAGAAATTATCTACTCACAATCTCTTAATGGATTCGAAGCCAGGCAAAAAGAAAGTAACCCATTCTCTTGGCCACTTGAGCCAACCATTTGATGGTAATTCGAATGATACTTGGTTAATATAGTATTAATCTCTTTGCCGTATATACCATATGCCAAATGATGAACATGAACACCCTTTTTATCTTTTTGCTAATCTTTAAAATGGCTTAGAAGTTCAGAATTTTGGCAACCCTTCCTTCCATCCTTCTAGAGTTTGGTTGACAATATGTATTTCCTCTATCACAGGAACTCCACAAAGAACTCGAAAGTTGTACGTGCGGCTGCAAACATGGCTCATGATGCTTGATGGCTATGTCTAAGGAGCCCAGCATTGACCTGATTTCCAAATTTTGAGGGTGGGGGATATGCTTAGTGAAGCCAATGCTAATTTTGTTGTCTTATTTTGAGTGAATAATGCAAAAGTAGAGGTATAGAACTCTGAACTGTATATAATGGGATGACATTGTTCTTTAGTTTTAGAAGAGATTGATTTGGAAAATGAAAAAAAAAAGACCCAAATTGTAGTTCAGTGTCCCTTTGCTGTTAGATTCAATGTCTGTCATATAAAATATATTGATGGCAGCGAGAATCGAACTTCTTTAAGTGTTATCTTTTATTTTAAGAACATTATACCATATTTTCCATTTTGAAATTGAGTTTGGCCAACTAAATATGGGTTCTTCCAGGAATGGTTTGAAATAGACTTTTTGCTTCTTAAATGACTCTTCCATGTGCCAATCATAAAAAGGTGGTCCCAATAAATTATAGAAGTCCGTCTCACCATGACTGGATTTGCAGTCCTTTGTCAATTATTGTTATTAAAAAATAAGTACGAAATTTTGTGTATTTATATAATATAAAATATTAAAATATATATTTTATATAAAAATTATATATTATAATTTATATCGATATAAAATTATAAAATATATATTTTTTATTTTATTAAATTTATATATAATTATTATTATAATTTAAAATTATATTATTTTCGTATAATATTTTAAAATAAACTTAATTATTTGAATTTGATTACTATAATTTACAGTCTCAACTCTCAAACGAAGAATTAATAACAGTAAGAGTAGGACAATAACATTAATTGAAAATCTAATTATTACTGCTGCTTGTTTACTCCATACGGTAAATTCTTCTATTGTTTTAATCCAACAAAATTAATCATATAATAAAAATATTACAATACAAAAGCATTTGTTGTCCAAAGGAAAAAATAAACTTATGCAAAACACATTAAAATTACTCTTAAAGGTTATGGTCAAACAACAGTGTCAACATCATTAACATTATATTTTCTCCTTTTTGCTTTATAAAAAGAATTAAAATCACATCATAAAACCCACAAAGTTAATTTCATTGATAAGAAACAAGTTTCTTTTTTTATGAAGGAAACTTCGATGCTTGTGAAAAGTATTTTAAAAGTGACATTTTAAATGTATAATAATGAAGGAATGCAACATTAAAATCATCCAATTAAATCTAAAAATAATTTGAGGAAATTAAAATAAAATTACAATTACCAAAGATATTAATATGAAGTAAAATAAATACATATAAAATATAAAAATATTAATAAATTAGTAACATATGTATTTAATTTTATTAAAAATTAAAGAAATTTAATATCAATATATAAAAATAAAATTTCAATATTAAATATAAATTTTTCAAATTTTTTTAGTACATACCATGAACATAAGAACATGAATATAAATTATAAGTAATTAGCCTAATTAATAAGATTTAGAGTTAGTAATAATAAAAAATATTATAATAAATAAAAGAATCCCATAATTGAACATCAATGATAGAATTCATGAACCACTACATGCATATTAATATCAGTTAGCTCATGACAGAACTCCAGAAAATTACCAATTTCTCTGCTCATCCTTTTCCTCTGTCATAACAAAAATCCAACCGTGAAAAACCAAACCAAAGCCATGTAAGAAAAAGGAAATGATTTTAAGATTATAATTGGAACTCAGCAGTGGCAAATCCAACCTCCTTTCACGCTATGCTCGAAATGAATTCAACCCACATTCCAAAGCCACCATAGGAGTTGAGTTTCAGACCCAAAGCATGGAAATCGATGGTAAGGAAGTTAAAGCTCAGATTTGGGATACCGCTGGTCAAGAAAGGTTTCGTGCTGTCACTTCTGCTTATTACAGAGGCGCTGTTGGTGCTCTTATTGTTTATGATATTAGCAGAAGAACTACCTTTGATAGTGTCGGTCGTTGGCTTGATGAACTCAAGAGTGAGTTTGGTTTTTAACAACCCTTTTCTTGGTTTTGGTTTTCCTATCTGGGTTTTTTATGTTGGCTAGATTCAGTGAATTTATATTGATTTTTAATAGGTTTTACGGTTTAGCTGTGGGATTGGAGGATTTGGTGGTTTGCAGTTGTTGGTTTGATGAGAACTGAGGGATATCTTTTTGGTAATATTGACAGGTTAACTTCATTTGATCCTTTTTCTAGGAGGGCTGTGGATTAGATTTTAAAATTTGCTTTTGGTAGATTTGGCATTAAGATGGAGTGTCATAAGAAGATCCATTGAAATATTGAGTTAGGTTTTTTGTTTGTTGATTTTATGGTCTTTCTTTGAGTGCCTTTTTCAGGATTCTATCTTGATTTGTTCATTCAGTTGGTTATGGTGGGTTAGAGCATTAGATCTGATGCTGTAATGATTGTAGTGTAAGGCTTAAGCTAGAAGAAAGCTGAAAACAGCAATAACAAGTGTTCCCTAGAAGAAAACAGAAAACAATTAGCAAGGGACTGGCTTTCTGATGCTTTTTTTTCTTTTTACTTTCATGCCCCCTTGTGTGGATTGTATCTGTTAATGTAGCATTTTCATACAGGATATTTGTTAAATTGCATGTGGCAGATTCTTACCTTGTGTATGCATGTTGCTAGATAGGCACCTTTTCTGATACATATGAAATTCTGATTTCCGTATATTAAGAAGCTATACAACAGCTTATGATCTTGGATTTAGTTGTTCAACTTATTTGACTGATTATTTGCCTTGGAAATAGAGATCATGTGACTATAGTGATTAGTCAATTACTTCTTTCTCCCCTTGTTTTCTGGTGATATTCATTCTTTTGTCTTATAGAACATGAACCAAGGTTGTCACAATTAGGATTTATTCTGAAATGTTAGGATTTTGGAGCACATCCTTGCTGATATTAATAGAAATTAGTAATAAAGAACATAAGTGACAATATTCAGTGTAGTTTGATGGAATCTGGTTACATTCATAAACAAAGAATTAATTTCTATATATTTTTTATTTATAAAACAACTGTAACAGTATGATAAACCAAAAATGACACTTAAATACTCAATCTCCAAAACATACTTTATTGTTTGTTGTTCTGTAAAATCTTAAGCTTTGGCCTTTGGGACAATTCTTATGCTTTCCAGTGTCTTCTGCACTCTTCTTACACATTTATTAACCCTATAATAACTTTACAAGCATCCATATGTCATCTTACATATCTCTAATGGCAAAATGAGGTTTATAAAACAAAAAGTAGTTACAACCAATAAACAACTATAGACAAGAACCTATTATGATTTATCCTGCTCAATTCTTTGTTACTTATTTGAACATATGAATAAGCACAGTCCAAGCAAAAGATAGAATAATTTCAAGGCATTTAATATTCTTTTCTCTTAAACCAAGATTTGCACATTTTACCTTTGGGTCTTTCATCATATCATAATGTTTTGAATTCTCATCCAGGTCCAAAATTCATTGGTAAACTGTTGGATCGACCAAGAATTATACTACTTGCAACCAAAATCTCATTGCAGTTCATTTTCATGAATATTGTGTATCTTATGGGCATAACCTATTCTAAGCATACTTGCTAACTGAAAATTACTAGCTCTTGGATCATAGACAATTCCATGTATGGAAGATCCATATTTCTTTTTTTCTTTTTCCTCTTTGATGCAAGAGAACACTAAGACATGAATCTTTAAAACTGCTCGAACAAAGGCTCATTGTTTTCCATTGCTTGACATGTGTTTATGAATCTCATCTAGAGTTAGAAATGGGTAAGTCTAGAATCATTTGCAGGACAGTGCTTCCTATGTGTAGTTGTTTTTTGGCTGGCACTTGGCATCTGGGGCTTGTTCCAGCTAGCAGATGCATGTAACTGATAGAGTGTCTTTTAGGCGGTCATAGGATTGTAAAGACGTAGTAAAAAAAAAAAATGAATAGCCATAAGAATGGAAATCTTTCCATTGTTTGGGATGTTGGAAGGCGATAAAACATGTATAGTTTCAGGGATCAAGTTTTTAGGTGCACTAGCAGATTTGTATATTTCACATTCTTGTAATCCTTCATAACCATGGTGGATTTGTCTCTCATTCATGGACGTTACCTGGCTCTGTTCAATCTTATTTAACATTGGTCTCTGATGTCTGTGATTTTATTATTTGGATAGACCTTAGCATTGGACACACTTTTCCAACCTTGCAAGGATAATGAGAGTGGAGGGTTTGGCCTTTATGTTTTGGCATGGTGTCAAATTTGGTGATGCAAAGGCCCTGGTATGTTGAGAGCGGACATGTGGTTCCTATGGAAGTGTGTGGCTCTTGGATGGTTTAGTGAAAAGAGGGGGAGGACACTCCATTTTGTTGGAAACTCCATGTCATGTTTCGGTGTCCAATGCTTGTATTTGTGTTTTCAGTTCTTAGCATTCCTGTGTTGCCCCAGTGAATGGTAAAGATGGACTCTGTTAACTTTTCAATATAGTGTTGATACACACACATACACCCTAATGCGGACAGGACTGTTGAGACAGAATAGAAGTAGAGTATATAAATTTGAAATGCAAATACTAACGATTAGAAGTTGATAGCCGACTGGGAGAAAAGTTTCCCTTTCTAATGGTTGAGACTGGCTGCAAGAGTATCAGGATAAAATTCAAAGACTATCAAAGCTAGCCTACTTATTTCATATCAGTTAGGTCTCTTTTACAGAAGACCTTGGAACTCAAATGATCCTAAATTCCAAGGAATATCAATTTAATGTTGGTCCACAGGTGCCTTTGATATTCTTCCTCCCTTCTTGTTTCCAACAAAACTTCTTCCAAGATCTAACATGCCACTTATTTACATGGCCAAAGCATTTCTTTGATTTTTATATTTTCTCCTTGGCTTATCTATTTGCTTCTCAAGATTTACCGTATATGTAATTTCTGTCTGCTTTTATGCTCGACAGTGATTTTATATTTGCTTTAAGTTTGGAGATTTAAAGGCTTATGCTTACTTAAAAAACTTTGTGCAGCTCATTCCGATACGACAGTAGCAAGGATGCTGGTTGGCAACAAATGCGACTTGGAAACTATCAGGGATGTGAGTGTTGAAGAAGGCAAAAGCCTCGCTGAAGCAGAAGGGTTGTTCTTCATGGAGACATCTGCTTTAGATTCAACAAATGTCAAGAAGGCATTCGAGATCGTTATACAAGAGATTTACTACAATGTCAGCAGGAAGGTCTTGAACTCAGACACTTACAAAGCCGAATTAACTGTCAATCGGGTAACCCTTACTAAAAGTGAAACCGATGAATCGAAGCAAACCCAAACTTTTTCTTGCTGTTCCAGGTGATCTCGTTCGTTCAGAAAGTGTACCAGTTGAGGCCTTCCCATGGTTTGTCAAATTCAATTTGTTTGGTTGAAATGTTTGTTTTCTTGTTTTCTCAATGGATGTGTTCAGGGATTCTTTTATTACTGAATAATATCATATTATATAGTTTAAATTATGGTTAAAGAATTGCTTCAGGATATGAAGCTGTACCTGCTGAAAGTGAAGCAGGCAGCCATCTTATTTCACATTGTAATACTATCTATTTTGAATTCCATAGCTATCTGATTCATTATTTTCTCAAAGTCATCAATAGCATGTGTTTTCTCATAACCAAAATCAATCTTCCTCCAACTACTAAGTGGAGGCTGAACCGTGGGCACAATTAGACGTAGGGAAGACAGAACTATATTCGATGGTTTTTTATTTGATTTGATTTTTTAAGAGTTTTTTTTTTTAAATCGAGTATATGGAATAAAAAAATTGAGGTTAAATTTTATCTGATATATATAAAAAATTATTTTTAATTAATTAATTAATTATATAGTTATATATATATTAATTTTATATTTATATTAAAAAAATTATATATTTTATTAAATTTAAAACAAATCGAATCGAATATAATTTTATATAATAATAAGACATGTTAAATTTGAATATAAAAAAAATTAATAAAAGAATGAATTGAATCAGATTTGCATATAATCAAATCGAGCTCAAAACGAAAAAAAAAATCGTTCTGATCTAATTCATTACTGTCCATAGTTAGACGTGGCAAAATGATTACGAGATAGACAATGAGACAAAGCCACCGTGGAGCCGCTTTTTGCAAAAAGATGAGGGGGAAACTCTGTAAGATGTCGGAAAAGCGAAATATACGAGATCACAAACGTAGATTGCTCGCGGCTAAATATGAATTGAGACGAAAGCTTTATAAAGCCTTTTGTAAAGATCCCGATCTTCCTAGTGATATGCGGGACAAACATCGTTATAAGTTGTCCAAGTTGCCAAGAAATAGTTCCTTTGCACGAGTAAGAAATCGATGTATTTTCATGTATTGCCCTCGTTCCGTATTCGAGTGCCTTCGAATTTACCCGAAATTGTGGGTCTCTTCTTTTGATCCCCTTTGATTTCCTCTTTCAACTTTTACTTCTCCCTCCTTTTATCTTTTGAAATGATTCAGCAATTTTTAAAGAAATGTTTAAGATTTCTTTTATTTTTAATTTTACATTTTTTAATTATATAGGTTTAAATCGATTTTAAAATTTCACATATTTAAATTTTTAAAGATTATGTCTTGTTTGTTTTGAGTATTAAAGGTTATATGTTATGTCACATAAGATTTTCTATCAATTTAGACTATCATACAAACGGAATGATTATATTAATACACATTTGAATAATTGAAAACTTGATTAAAATTTTTTTAAATTTAAGGACTAAAATAAAATTTGATCAAAATTTAAGGCCACATGTGCTATTTACTTTTTTTTTTTTTTTGCAAAATGTAACCTTTAAAATTATATACAATTCAAGGCAATATTATCAATCACATTATGAACCAACATTGCTTAATTGTAACTGATCAATTAGGCCGACCATCACACTATCTTTATTAATGCAATCAAATGGAAAGTTAAAGAAAAAAGGGCGTGTTTTTCAAGTGCAATCTTTCCTTATTCTTAAGGGGCAGTTTCTTCTAGCCTTAATTTTTTTTTTTTTAAAAAGCCGCAACCTAAAGATAAGAAAAAGAGTTGCGAGTGTTTAAGATTTGATTACTAAAGATGCTACCTCTTACTGGTGACTGCATGAACCAAACATATATATCGGCGCCAAGCCCATTAACATGAAGTAGTGGAGAACTCCACAATATCTATTGCATGGATGCTTTGGAAGGGTTTCTAATGGGATTTAAATCAGCAATGATAGAATTTTCAAGACCAATTTAGTACTCAATCTATCACATAATCATTATAAGCAAATCAGGTATGTTGTTCTTCACTAAGCTTAAATTAAAATCCAATAACATACAGTCAAGAAGTAGATACATTCTATTCTTTTTGTTCTAATTATGCATAAATAGATTTGAATATCTTTTCATTTATACACTGCAAAACACTTCATTCAACATATAATGGTCATTGAAACTCAAAAGACTGCAATTGACAAAGAAGCACATGAATCTCTCCCCTTAACATTAATTTTGAAGAAAAAGAGACTTACAGCATGGCCTGAACCAATGGTCACATAGGTCAACTTCTAGATGACTTTGGTGGTGATTCCATTGAAGATGGTAGTAGGTGCAGTTGACTTCTCGATCTAGATTCTCTTGGATTATGATTTATTGTTAGAGACCATGAAAATGGATCTAACTGACTACTAAAGTGAAATCCATGAGAGTGCAACCATGGAGATTGGATAAGCAAAGGATGACAAGAAAATTATGTAACTTAACCTTTTTAAAACAAAAATGCAGGATACACGCACAACACAGATCAAAATTTTTTATGAATCCAGACTGTTCTCTATCCATCAGCCAATTCTAAACTTTTGCCCTTAAATTCATTGCCATTTGGTATCGGACCATAAAGACAGACCCGCAGATCACCTTGCACTACTTGCTGGTGAAAGTAGTTCTTATACAAGTCCCAGAACTCATCTCTGCAATTTAAACAAAACATAAATGAATCAAGCATCGCTCAAAGTTCCCAAGTCCATGTAGGGACTTGGTGTCAAAATGTAGCATGGGTGTTTAAGGGTAGGGAAACAAACACGTGCCTACACACACCATTTACAAAAGAAAAACGCGATAAACACAAATCAAAAGGAAACAAAACAGTGAGGAAGATAATGATAAACTTATAAGTTAGCTCATCAATGAACCTGACTTGGGGAAGTGTAAGCAAGGAATAGCCCTTAACATCCGTGTGAATATCAAGCAGAATCACTGATAAACGTGAAAGCCCCAATGCCTCAATGTCAATTAACTTTTTAATTCTGCAATTTAGATTACAAGAGAACAGTCAAAACCATGATTCAATCAGTCATAATGAAAAATCAAGAAAAGATCATGATTAACAAAAAGACTTGAACATTTAAATTCTATGATTACCAAAAGATCTTCATATTTCTTGAGATGACTTTCTCAAAGTTGTCTTTGCTAAACTACTATTTTTTATGATAACTATTAGTTAATTTGACGTTAAAGGTTGGTGACTAACCTATTTGGTGTACCACTAGCAATGTTAACTCGGTTCTTCAGTAAAGATACCTGCAACAACCAAAAAAGAAGCAAAAATTAACTAAGAAATAGGGCCTTCATGCAATAGATATCGAGTAACCAAAGACATGGTAACAAAGTTATATCAGTTCAATAACAAGCCACACAATTGCAATTTTCACAAAGGAAAATTGTTTAATTCCTCCAATTCAACACAGGTAAACAACATAATGCAACTAAAAGGCATATGCAACTAGTCTATAGTACCATATCCAGATGAACTCTATTGAATTTCGTTTCTCATAATTAATCAATTGTGGAGAATCACATATTTAACAGCTACCAAACTGTCCAAATTGGATTCCATAAAGCTTAGCTGTCTCCTAAAATAAAAACAACATATTCTAGTGAATGAAGATGATATTAGAATCAGAACATGGAACATCCAAGTCTCAAAAACAGAATATAAAATGATGAAAAATTTTCCCTTGTTCAATATTGACACCCAGAATAACTCCTACTCATGTAAATAAAATCTCAAATGATTTACTTGAAAACAATACAATTTTGAGGATCAGGAAATACAAGATCGAAACCCATGACACTATGAAATATTTTTTATGCAGCAAAGCTAGTGGGGTACAGGCATGAAAAATTTATCACCATTAAAGGAAGCCTTTCATCAGAAAATGATTTCAGGATCCTTTATGTTTATATTTAACCTGAGGCAAAATGATTATTTGAATTAACACACAAACAAAAACACCATTACTATATATAAAAGTGGGGAGCCCCTCCCACCACACCATCCCGTGCTATCAAATGCACACCAAACCAAGTAGTCATATTACAGGCTAAGACAGATAACTGGTTGCCAAGTAAGTACAAAACTTAAAAAGAAAATGAAAGAATTTGCAATCAAATGAACTGCAGAATGATATTAAGTGGAGCTCCTCCCTCCAACAATCAGTTGGCCCACAGCTTAAAACAAATTCTACCACCTCTTGATAATTGCCTTTGATACTTGGTAAGAGAAGGTGGGCAACAACATATCAACAATGATATCGTGGAGAGCCAGGCTGTAGCATCGGGAGCCGGTCACACATGAATATATATACTCATACACATGTGAAATCATGTCAAAACAGGAACTTCAGCCAAAAGTGTGAAGAGTATGTGATGGAGATTAGGGGAATTGTTGCAATCTCCATGTAAAGCTTCTTATGTCTTCAAGCTTTTGTTTTGGTTTAGAACTTTTAATTTAAGTGAATTTCAGCAACTTATTATCTTGAACCTCAAGTCATAAGGTATGGGCATGTAACTTCTTTCTTCTTACTTTAATATCAACTCTATTTTAGATTAGAAATCAATCATAAATCAAACCCTTTAAATGCTAAAATAGTAATTTATCTGATCCACCCACAAAAATCTCAACCTTCAATATAAATTATATCATATTTGTTTGAAGTTGCTCTCTTATCAATAAGTATTTAGGCCACCCATTGTCAAATATTCTAAGCGACAAAAGAACAATGCATTTTTTACCATAGCATGGTCACAAAAAAAACAAGCCTCTCAGCAACACAGATTCTGCCCCATAAGAGTACAAGTAACATAATTAACAAGCAAGTAACATTCAAGAAAATTAGGCTCAAGTTATAGAAAAACTACCTGTTCCTTAATCTTCATGTGCTTTGAAAATAGCTTCACAGCATGACATTCTTTAGTCAATGAGCGCATGCCCCTAGAGCAACAGAACAAAATTTTCAGTTCCTTTCTGGCTAGAATCTAAAGATAAATCAAAATTTAAATAACCTCATGAACATGTACTCCTAGAAATAGGGAAAAAAATTGAAAGTTCTAGTTAAAGTCTGTTCTTTTCACTTCTCCCATTTTGCTATCCAACAAAAGAAACCATTCAATTTCTTTTCTCTCCCTTCAATCCACATGAATGTTAACCAGCTATATCAAACATAAACCTGATAATTTTAAACACAATACGGTTACATAACATGAAAGCGATACAAAAAAAAAAGCGATGTGACTTAAAATTTTAATAAAAATCGAATATGAATTTAGCAAAAACTAAAATATCTATTCCAATTGTTGCACCGTAATTTCCGTGTTTTAGACATGTTTCACACGAAACAACATGGATATACGAATTGTCAAGTCTAATCAAACATAACTTTTTTTTGGTTTTTGCTTTCAGAAACTAAATAAAAAAAAAAAGTAACGACGAAACGGAGGCTAACGAACCTTAAAAGTTCAATAGATCGTAAAGCCGAAGTAGCAAGAACAAGAACAGCAGGACTTCCTGCTTCAATCTTCCCTTCAATGAGCTTCCCTTCACAAAGCTCTTCTTTCCATTTTGCCCCAAAAGCTTCCTTTATATGTCTCTCTAGCCTCATTACATCTTGACCCAACTCTTCAGAAACATCTAAAATACAACTAACTACACAAAAAAAAAGGTGTAACCCAAAGACCCTTTTTAACTTTTAACAATGTCTGATTAATAAATTTGATTTTACCTTTAATTGATTCCATTTCGAGTGAAGAGAGTTGGACCCCATTGGCGGATTGAAACTGACTTAGAAAATAACTGAGTTGCTGCGACGGTGATGCCGGTGTTGGCAGTGGGTTGTTGCTGTCGCCGGTAACAGTTGTTGTTTTGTTTTTGGTTTTGATTTGGTTGGCGTCGTTTTGGTGATTGTTGTCCTTCTTCGTCTTCTTCTTCTTGGACTTGGATTTGGGTACGTCGGACTTAGAGCCGAGAGGTTTCCCGTTGCGTTTAGGGTTTTGGGGACGTTTCCGTTTCTTCTCCGCTTTCCCGCTCCCCATTTTCTCCTGCGGCTTTTACTGAACGCTTGTGCTAGGGTTTTAAACGGTAACCGGCAACCGCTATGCTGTTTTTTGAATTTTTGTTTTATTATGATTATTCTTTTGGATCATTATATTACTACGAAAGCAATAAATTATAAAATAAAATTGAAAATATTATTAAAATATTATTTTTATCTTTTTACATAAAAAAATCACCAAGTATCAATATTATTAAATTTTTATTTAAATAAAAAACTTAACATTTTTTATTTTTTATCAATTAAAATAAAATTTCATATGATATAAATAAAATACATAAAAATTTATCACGTAATATAATTAATATATGTAAAAATTAAACAAAATAAAAAAATTTTTCTTTATTTTTTGTTAAATTTTTTTTTGAAATTCAATTAATTATAATTTAAATATTGATTAATTTAATTTTATAACGTGGCTAGATTTTGTACAATTAAAAATTTGATTAATCAAAATAAAAAATTCATTAATACCAATAAAATATAAATTTAAAAGATTATTGATTTTTTATTTCAAAGAAAATTTTTTTTATCATTTTGCCAAAAATTTTAAATCTAATTATAAAAAGGAGAAATGCGCGGATCGCACCTTTTCCCGACTCAAAGTCGTCCCAGCTCTTGTGGACTGGACTTGACGATGGAAATTCCACTTGTTTTTCTATTTTTCCAATATGAAAAAAAAAAAAAAAAACTACTGGCCATAATAAAAAAAAAAGAATAAAAACTGAGAATAAAAAAAAAATCAAAAGAAATTAAGAAAAACGTAGAGAGGAAGAACAGTAGTTTCTACTGCTGTTAAGGTTTAAATATGTTTCGTCCGATAAGCTCTTACTATTCTCTTCTATTAGTTTCCTTTCTTGTAGTTTCCTTTGCTATAAGCAGCGTTCTTAGTTGGGGTGTTATCAACGTCAAGTACAAATTCGCCGGCAGTCAACCTTCTCTTTTTGACTTGAAAGACCACGACATCCGCCGTCAACTTCGAATTCTCGCCGGCGTTGATCTCCCTTTGGGCGGTTCCGGTCTACGTGATGGACTTGGGTTAGTATTTCATCTACAAAATTCAATTTTTTAAACGAAAGTTTCTGTTTTTTTATTTAATTTTAATTTTTTAATTTTTTAGGCTTTATTATGCAAAAATAGGGATAGGAACACCTTCGAAGGATTACTACGTTCAAGTAGATACAGGAAGTGATATAATGTGGGTTAATTGTATTCAATGTGAAGAATGCCCCAGTAGAAGCTCCCTTGGTGTAAGTCTTCCCTTTTTTTTTCTTTCTCTTTCCTCTTTTCTTTTTTTTAGGCTTTGTTTGGGTATTACTTTTATTAATTATTTTTTTGCCAGTGTTTTAATCTTTGATTTGTAAAAGGAAAAGAAAAAAAAAGCCCTTATTTATGGACTAAAAGTAACACTAGATAGTCAAATTATACTAATTGATTAAAAATTAAAAAATGGTTAAGACGAATTATTGATTTTAATATAACTTTTCTATTTAAAAGTAAATAATTCTTCAAAAATAGTTATAGGTTTTTGCATTCAGATGTACTTTTTTGCATTTTGATTCCGTAAGAAAAACCAAGTAGTAAAAGTAACAATGAAATGCTACCTTAAAATAATGTATTTTTTTATCCAAAAAAATTATCCATTTTTAATGTTTGATTTGTAAATTTTTCATTTTTTTGCTTTTGTAGCCAAACCCATTTTTGGCGTAACAACCAAAGAGTATCTTAGATTCTTGGTTTCTTTAATAATATTTGATTGCATTTGTTTTATTTATATGCTATGTTTACAGATAGATCTTATTTTTGATTGCACTTTTATTTTTATATATGCTATGGTTACAGATAGAACTTACTTTGTATGATATTAAGGAGTCTGCCACCGGCAATTTGGTTTCATGTGATCAAGAGTTTTGTTATGCAATAAATGGAGGTACATCAGCTGGTTGTACGGCTAATATGTCCTGTCAGTATCTTGAGATATATGGAGATGGGAGTTCCTCTGCAGGATACTTTGTAAAAGACATTGTACTATATGATCAGGTGTCTGGCGATCTCAAAACCTCATCTGCAAATGGAAGTGTTATATTTGGGTGAGTTGTCAATCCTTCTATTACTCTTCTCTAACTCATACTTGTGATACATGTGGCATCGTGTTAGCTTTTAAATTTTGAAATTGTAATTGTCTAGGCACGTTCTTGCTAAATACTGTAACTTGCATGTGTAACTACTACTAATGTTATTGCAAACAAATCTCTTTGACTTTTTCAAATTCAGAAGTTCTTGTTTTTCGTCGGTAGATAACAGAACATGACAGTTATCTAGATTGTATGAATTATTTACAAATTATTCTGAAAAGTAGAAAAAGGTTTAAAAATCAACTAATGGCTAAATTGTACTTTCTGATTAGTTTGTTTTATGGATTTTTCTTTTCTTTGTACAATTTTTGAATGTCATTGTTGAAATTTGTGTCTCTACTTGTTCTAGCTTACCATCTTTACATACAAGATATCGTTTGTGCCTGCCTTCTCTCTTTTTCCCCTCTTTTGCCTTTTATTATAAGATCCATATGGTATGAATGAGACACAAAGCCAGTCTCTGACACAGATTACCATTTTTATGGACTAGATAATCATCTGATCCCATCTTTATTTGTGTAAAAATGGCTTCAAAGAAATCAATTTTACTTATTTGATTGATTTAGATGGATATAGTCAGTATGAGAAGGTACGTCAATGTACGTAATGTTTCATATTGTATAGTCTTAACACAATTTATTATTGACAATTGACAAAGTTAAGTTTTAATAAGTTGAAGTTTGTGGGAACATATGAAGTTGCATCAATATCCCTTTTAGGGATCTTTGGAATTACATCATGAGTTTGATTTTTGTCTAAACACACCTTGGCTTAATGGATGTTTGCTTTTGCATACTTATGTCTGTAAAATATGTGCTCATAACGTCTGTACATGCTTGCTGTTTGCTTGTGCTTCTTTTTGGTGGTATTATATGGTTATTCTAGCATTCTTTTTTCATAGGTGTGGTGCAATACAATCAGGGAATCTAGATTCATCTAATGAAGAAGCACTTGATGGAATACTTTGGATTTGGAAAATCTAATTCATCTATGATTTCCCAGCTTGCTTCATCTGGAGAAGTGCAAAAAGATATTTGCTCACTGCTTAGATGGGGTTAATGGAGGCGGTATCTTTGCTATGGGAACGTTGGGCAACCAAAAGTTAACATGACTCCATTTGGTACCAATCAGTATGTAACATATTTAGCGAATATCATTGCTTGTTTTTTTACCATCACAGTATTTTCTATTAATTTGGTTTATTTTAGCATTATGTGTTATGAAATTACATTGCTTTTGGAGGAAAGCATCATAGTTCAGGGGAATCATCATTGTTGTCTGAATGGGCTGAATGAAAATTGTGTGCTGCTAATTATTTTTCATTTTGGCCCATGGATTATTTGTGTTTAGACTTTAGAGTGCAAAACTTTGTAGGGCTTAGCTGAAGGCTTAAGGGGTAACTTGCCCAAAATGATTTGGCTAATAATTTCATCACCCAAATTGTGGTGGTTTGACTGAGGAAGGTTACTCCATTTTCTTGTCAGCCACTGCAAAAAAGTAGATTGACTAGCAGGGAAAAGAACTCTATATGTAACATTTCAACTTTTAGTGAAGTTATTTTGTGATTTGCTTCACTTCATTGTTAAACAGGTTTAAAATGGTTAATTCAGCTGATGTTATAGTTTATAGCAAGCTCCACTAGGTGATAATAGAGAATCACTGACCAATGAAGAATAAAAAGTTACTATTATTATACTACCTCTGTCCCATTTTCTTTGTCCATCTTTCCTTTTTGGGATGTCCCAAAATTATATCCTTTTTCCTTTTTCAAACATCTAAAATTCTTACTTTTTATATTTTAAAATTATTTTTTATGATTTTTTTACTTTTTAACATTAAAAATCATGGAATTTTAATTTTATAAAAAAAATTTTAATTTTAATATTAAATACATTAAAGTCAAAGCTTCTTTCTTAAACTCCATGAAAGTCAATATAACCCAAACATTTTGGGATAGATGGAGTATTATTATTTTTGTCTTTTTGCTGAGCTATTCATGATGATTCCTATGATAATAGGAGCTTCAAAAGGGATGTGGTTCCAAGTGGTCATTCCAGAATTTGATTTGTAAGTTAGCAAAGATTGAGAATTTTGTAGCAGCTGGATTACTTGTAGTGGTTTCTAGAGTGATAAGGGATTAGGAAGAGAAACTACTGGACAAATGGGTAAGGCAAAGTTGAAGAGATGAGATGAATGAGCACTGAATTAAATGTGTTGTACATAACATAATTGAAGTGATCAAAATCTGGAAACATCTCTTGCGAAATGCTGCATGAAATTGTTATGTGCTACATTTTCTTTTGTTTCCACGCCAAGAAATTTCTTTTTGGCTTAAAGCCATTGTTTAGCTCATGATTGACAGCAACACATTCGTACTGACCGAATCAGAGACTAGCTTCTCTATGATACCTTATTAATCAAGTCATTTTCATGATTTTGATTTTCAATGTTGAGTTCATCTTCTAATTCACATTTAGTATATGAATATGCAATTTGATATATTGAACTCTGTCTTGTCATAAAAAATTTCAGGCCACATTACAATGTCAATATGACGGCAGTTCAAGTTGGTCAAGATTTCCTGAATTTTACAACAGATGAATTCGAGCCAGGAGACCAAAATGGGACAATAATAGACAGTGGAACAACCTTGGCATATCTCCCAGAAATGGTTTATGAGCCATTAGTAACTAAGGTATGTGATATAAAATTGGTTTTATCTTCCAGAAAATTTCACTTCAGTGTGCTAAAGTTTTATGTTTTTCTTTTTATCTCTGGTTAGATACTCTCACAGCAGCCCCATTTGGAGCTTCAAACAGTTCATGATGACTATACATGTTTTCAGTACTCTGAAAGGTATGAAGCATGGGTTATAGCAATTGTGACCTTTGAGCACCTGTGGGGCATCCCCTTCTTTTGCTTTGTGGTTCAGTTTTATAATCATTTTTTTTC